ATATATATATATATATATGCGTATAGAAGAGCATCTCCTATTCCTACCACTTTGTTGCAACAACGCCGTCTGGCTGTTGAGCTATTGCTGTTGAGATGGTCGTAAGGCTTCTACTTAGTGACTCAATAATTGTGAGCACATGAAAGGAACGTGCCAGAAAGGTTTCGCTATGATGTCTCGGTGTCGTATCAACTTTGAGCCGTCACTCTCGGCGTACTTGTTGCCCAACTTGTTTGTATAGCCCGTAGGCCCCATTGCCGTATCAGCTGCGTCCCAGATAAAACCTGGCAAATGACACCTTATCTTTTAGTGCGAAACTCCCTGAATTGGTAATCCTGTCGTGCAGCCAGTCCCCAGCATGAATCTGTCGAACAGGTTCCGGTCCAACGGGAATAGAAGTTCCATAATATGGTGGATTTGCAGGAAATTCTTCTCGGGTTATACCTCCTCTGATGGGCTCTTCATTCCTTCTCTGACGGGTTGAGCCAAACCTTCAGGGATTTCACTTCCAACAACCCGAGCCATGATAGGGGGTGCCTAACCCCACGTCAAGCTGCGGGCGGAGGAGGATACTCATGTCCTGTTCGATTCGTGGCCCGTCATGGCTCAGGTGAGCTCGTATGCGCAGATTGGGCGAGTCCAGCACCAGATAGATTCTGTAATTCGAGTCAAGGGGGTCGATGGCCGTTAGCCACTTGAGGAAGACTATCAGACACCGTGATTTGTTATTCTTAATGGATTGGGTTTGGTGAACTCCTCCAAATCTAGGTCCCCGGTTGTCCTGATTGTATAGAGCGTAGGCCACGGCAAACGGACGAGTCTTAGGTCACGCTACAACAGCTGCCGATGTAATTGAAACCCACCAAAGAACAGCTGGTGAAGATTCTGCCACTGAAGATAAAGCCCACAACGGTGATTGTGGAGATGGCGCCGATATTGCCATTGATTGTGGAGAGTGCACCATGGCTGCTTGCTGTTACTCGATATATATAGGCTCTCTGCTGCTGGTATGTCTTTAGTCTTTTGCCAACTTCGATATCGACTATGCTGTGGCTCGGGCTGACGCAAGGTATGCATATCGCAGTAGTTACTAGCTTTAGAATCTATAACCCTATGATTGGAGTCGGACAAGAGCTACGAACTCAGCATAGCCGTAGCAGTTCGTTCCTTTATAATTAGAAAGGATGGATTGATCAATCAACGCCGTGTCTTTCCACGATCTGGTCGTCCGCAAACTTCTCAAAATGTCAAGAAAGTCTCGAGATGGATTGTGTCCAGTTCCGGGCAAAGGAACAGCGTTCCTTCTACGCTGTCGTCAGGGCCAGTTTGACGGCAAAGGTGAACAGTACAAACCCCCGGTTTCTGAGCGGGCCGTATATGTAGATCTTCTTCCTGCTGGATATTGCATGGCGGCGCTGTTGGGTAGCCTCCATATTGAACCAGCCACTTCTCGATTGGGCATGACCACTTGTCTCTTCTGACATGTGGTCCCCAGGTAGTACCAGCGGCCCAGGAGTAACAGAGTGTCACATGAGATCTACTTCAGCATTTGGTTGAGCGCAGACTTCAGTTCCAATCATTGCCGTCCGAGGGGAGGGGTATACCATCCTCCCTTCCGGCAGCAACGCTGGGATCGTCAAAGAGCACCGGTAAGAAACAATGAGAAGGTCGAAATGAAAGTTCGCGGGCCAAGAGAATGAGTGGTGAAACTGAATTCGGAGTGTTGAATGTCTGTGTTGTCCAAAGGGCCACTGGGCATGTTCTGCACAAAATACCAACTCTGGCCGGACATTTGTAATATGCGACGGCGATGCTTCTTAATGCTCTTTCCACGGAGGATGCCATGTCTCTTGCGGTTGAATCACCCTTTGACTTGTCGGTAACAGTGAGTGCATCGTTGGCAGTCACGGCAAAGATATTGAGCATATCTTTCCAGTATCCATGAGCGACACCATTCTTGGCATCAAACTATATATAAGTTTACCACGAATAAGGGGGGTGGCTATGGGTTCTGGCGTGATTTCCAGTTCTCAGGCCTGGAGTCTGTCGACGAGGCCAGCAGGGGATTGACTCAGTGAGAATGCCGGTAGTCTTAGGTTTTGCAACACCTGAGGGTTATCCCTTTGAAGATATATAGGACTTCCCGTTGAATGGCCGTTTTTGTTTGAAGTCTGCAGTTGTCTTGGCTGCGCACAGATAATACGCTTGTTGCTAACAAATTCATCCCAAAACGCAATATGTGTTGACGGACTTCTGCCTGGGCTGGTAAAGGCTTTTGTCTAGTCTTATTGCCCGGTTATATATATAAGCAGTGTCACCTGAGCACTGGTTGAGTGCGACATGACTCTGGACATAACTCTCAGGCATCGTTATTCAGGTACCGATCTGGGCGTGCTTTCTTGTAGTCTTGCGGGATGTTGTTGAATTCCATTTGATGGTCTTGGAATCGGGGCGCGTATCTTCCTTGTGCTCGCAGTAGGCTTCAACCACAGTGATGTGCGAGAGTATTGTGATGCTTGATATACCCGACCATTGACAGCTCCTTTCAAGGCTTCGGCTCTCATCTTTCCTGGACAGGGTTGTTGCTGGGAAAAGAAGCTTCCTTCGCGAGGGTCAAGCCTTAGATAGTGATTGCAAACCATGTTTCACAGATCATTTGGCGTTTGAGTGATAGGAAAGCTAATCGAACGCTGCCGAACAAATATATAGTCCAGGGATGTATAAAGCTCCTCTAATCTTATGACCATGGAGTCTGAGGTCCAGAGGAGAAACTAAAGGCCTAGTCTGGCTTTCTCACAGGTTGTACTGCGTGGCGGGGACCATCGAGGTGCATGAAGCGAATGCCCGGGAGATCGAGGTGTTGATGGCATCTTGACATTCTTGTATCATTGTTAATCATGAACATAGACATTAATATTGGGTGGATTACTTACCATCTTGGCTAACAGCCCCTTAGAGTACCTTGATCCATTTCTTGTCTTCAGCCATGAAACCACTGTTGACTGTCTTTCCAATGTAAGATCTGTTTATATAATGGCAACCTGCAGCGACTGGTGATTTGGCTGAAACGATACTATGATGGACATAGTAGGTTGGTCGTAAATACTGTACGCTTCCGTTGGTGAAAAGACGGTATAGAAAAATGCCTATCGGATCAGGTCAGGTCAGAAAAGCAACAGTCAAAGTTGCCTCAAGTAGACTTTCTCTACGAGTCACACATACCTACTGAAGTGTCGGCCACGCGATCAATCAACAAGATTTGGCTGCATCCTTCAGAGTCGACCGATTGCCTGAATCTGCGCTCCCATGTTGATAGGGTACTCCATGATGATCCCGTCCCAGCAGGCATGACGGGAGTTGATGTGAGTTTACCCCCAAGCTGGGTGGCTTCATCGAGGTGATCATGCAGCTGGCTGGGTACGTGGCCAAGTTGAACTTCTTCACTGCCGCATTCCGCTCACCCTGCGAGTGCTTGCTCTGCATGGTAAGGGTGCCGATACCCAGTGCCTCTAGCGAGTATCATCCTATATTATGAATGTCAGTATGGGCGCGGCTAAGAGAGAAGGGGTTGAAGCCACCCTTTTCGAACTGCAGCTCGAGGGGGGTTGACTCGAGCTGCGATAGGGTCGACTTGCTCAACGTACCAAGGCCGAAGCACTTTCGGATGCCCCAGGCAAGAGCAATGATCATCAGAACCGACAGAAGGACTTCAGGATCGATCGAAATGGTCAACATATATACTAAGAAAAACTCAGCAAAGACTGTCCTAGACTGATCCAGAGCTCAGGCTAGACTTACCTAGTTATTTTCGTTGCTTAGGGTCAAAGTCCCAGGTTTCCTAGACTCCTCTGGCAGACATCTCGCAGTCTTTGTTAGAGCAGGAGTTCTCTTTGTCGAAAGGTTAGTATTGCAAGGAAGGCTAGTGAAAAAGTAATATAGTTACCTTGCTGAAGCTGTTGAGTCCGAGGAGTCGGTGACAAGGACTGCCGTAGTCGCTTCTTGTACTGATACCGTCATCGGGTGACAATTCGAAGGCGTCATTCTGGGCGGATATATATGATTCTAGATCAATCACAGCCACTGAGGCATGAAGAGATCTTGAATAAGACAAAGAAAAAGAAAGGAATATAGACATATAGATGTCCAAGATGTTGTCTGATGTAACTGGGCTTGGTTGTGAGTTGACTGAGTTCTAGCCCGGGAATCTCGGGGTATTTATACTTTTCAGAGACATGCTTTACATAATCGTGTTTTCACTTGCCATCATTCCATCATATGATGGCCGTGGTGTTTTCATCAGTTTGCCCAGATTCTGCTTTCTGCCTAAGCAAAGAGCAAATATTTATGTTGGGCGGGTTGTTGCACAATCAAGTTTCCTTCAGCATTATAAACTACAATTACAAACTCAATCTTAGTATCCATGCTAGGCAGCATCATACTGGTTGCGTGTCAAACCCCATTCTTGCAAGGCTCTTTGCCAAATAACTTCCACAGTGGCTTCCATTCCACAAACAAATCTGACCGAAAACTTGAACAACAATTATTGTCTCGCCAATTCTGCATCTTGTTGCTTCCCTGCTTGACAAATGACAAAGTCATTGTGCTAGGCAACCTCCCTGTCGCTTCCTGTGGTAACCGTTCACTCCCCAGACCCGTCAATTCGTCGTCGCTTTGATGGACTTGCGGAGTCCTGTTCCGGAGGAGGCGAGATTGCAGAAGATGTTGCTGATGATCTCTCAAGCTTCTTGGTGTATTCTCGTTCCTTGGCCGCCCAGTGCTCGGCGACACTACGCTCTGCCTCGAGCTTTTCTTGTAGTTCCTCGGCATTTTTCTTGTATATGTCCGACTTCTCCTTGTAAAGGTCTCTCTTTCGCCCTTGGACCTTTCGCATCAGGTCCTGTGTCTTTTGGAATTGTTCCATGAGTTCTTTTCGCTCTTTCTCGAGTGTAGTCTCCATTTTGTCTAGTTTCTACATGTCGGTGATGGTTTCGATGTCGCGCATATCCTGAGGTGTGTCTTCGTCTTCTTCCTCCTGTTCTTTCTCTCCCTCTTGCTGTTTGTCTTTCTCTTCACCTTCCTTTCCCTGTTCCTCGTGTTCCTCTCGTTTCTGTTCCTGTTGTTGCTGTTCCTCTTCACCTCCATCCTCCTGTTCTTCCTCTCCTTCATTGACTGCATCATTTCCTGCTGAGGCCTTGATCACTCGTTTCCTGGTCCACCTGACTGTCTTGCCCATGAAGAGCTTCATTTCTAGCTCTCTATCGTTTAGCATTGGATAGTACTCGGGGCCACGCCACATGTTGGAGACACCCCAGTGCTTGGCGAACGCCTCTGCCATGGCTCGGACATTTGAGTCGTCAGGCCATAGGGCTTGTAGTACGAGCATGTAAGGATAATAAAAGTGCTCTGGTTCTCTTTCATGACCTTTTCCTTTGATATACGCGTAGAACGGATGGTTTGATGGGCTAGTGCGTTCTCGATAACTTCGGTGAAGCTCCATCGCATCGATAGTCCGCTTTGCAGCTTCGGCGCACATTCGGGGTTTTGCTCTTTCGAAAGCGCTCCAGAGCAATCTCTCCTTAGATGACATCTTGGTTCGATTCTCGGGATCTATGCGCCTTGTTAATACCGTCACGCTGTTTTAGCTTCGGATGGCTTCACTCACTCATCTTTGTTTGGGATAGTTTCGCCTTGGAAACTGTGTGGTTCAGGCTGCGTCGTGTCAGAAAGGCTGCTTATGTCTTCTGGAAGTTCAGTATATATCTTCGTGTCTCTGGAAGAAATTCGACGGTGAAGTCAGAGTTCGTGTTGGGGATGAGAAAAGAAAGAAACTTGAACGAAATGAAGGAAGAGTTGTTGTGATGAAGCGAGCGTGTGGCAATGAATCAGAGGCTCGCGGGTCTACTTCTTTTGCATGCGCATTGCACTGCAGAACTAAGGAGTTAAGCTTGGCTGTTAGCTCCTGTTCTCCAAGCCTTGATAGGATTTAGAAATAGTTCTTCGGGTAAGAGGTCAATTACTGATCTACAGGTTTCCGCTCTATTCTCCAATGGTACTGTATCCTCGACACACCACAAAACTCCTAAATAGAAGTCTACAACAACATATCAACCACATTTTTCCATGCCTCTACTTGAATATTAGTTTTATCAATACCGGATTCTGACATTGAGGCTGTCTGAGATAGTACCCAGCATCTGACGTCTTACTCCCCCTCAAAGTAAGGTGCAGATGCTGTTGCAAAGAGAGTATGGGCATGCATTTCTATATCAACGTCTCTTTATTTGCATCCTCTTCCTTCCCTCAAGACTGTAACTCTATACCATCCGCACAGTCTTTCTGCATTTACTCTATGATCATCCAATTGGACCTCATCCCTAAGAGATATAAACAGGCAAATCACTCCCAAACAAACTCCCCTTCTGAACCTGCACATCATCACGATGAAAATCATGCAACATAAGCCAACAAATCATCCTCAAAACAAAAGTACACCAGACTTCCTTCGCAGCACGAAGATACGCTGCATACTCAGCCGTTTGGGCCGCCTCCCCCTTGACAACCTGAAACTCGGAATCTGCGTTCTTGAGATTGAAGAACGTCATTGATGCTGACCTCAACACGGCGGGGAGAATTTGTTGGAAGTATGTTTTCATCAGGGTGTCTTCTTTGTTGCTTCCGCTTGCAGATGGGAATGTTGATGTTGAAGAGGGGTTGTTCATCTGGGAGAGAAGTTCCTCGAAGTGTGCGCCGACAATTTCTTGTCCAATAGTTGCTCGCTGACTTGCATGCTTTGGTAGAGTATAGTCTTTGAGTGAGTCGTCAAGTTCGTCGAGAACAGAGTGCAGTACATCCTGTGCTTGCCAAGTGTAGCTCTGAGGGGTGTCATCTCCTGGTCGAATACCTGTCTTCGTAGCAAAAACTGTGTTCACATAAAGCGATAGCTTTCCGTTCGCCATCTCGGGATCGCCGTGGAGATATCGTTGATATGCAGCCAGTAACTTGGGGAGGGAAAAGCCTTTCGTGCTCCAGACGCAGTAGCAAGGGTTGGAGATATATCTGAAGCAGAGATCCTTGATGTGAAAGACTTGGCCGATCATGCCTATGAGCTCAAAAGTAACTAGAATTGTCAGAGCGGTTAATTTGAAGTGTGAGGTGAAAGCTTACCTGGAAAGATGTGAGACGTCACAGCTCCATCTCTCAAGAAATAATTAACCGCCTTGCGTCCACATCCAAACGAGCCCAAGGTCTCTGCAATCTCCGTTCGATTCCCCAACCCAACATATGGCCAGTCATACAGCGAATTACTGCTCTTATACTCAGGATGACCCTCAGTAAAAATCGTAGGAAGTTGTCCAAAAGCAAGTCTCGTCACCGCTTCCGTCGGAATCGTCCTATTCCCTTCAAACACAGCCTTCTCCAACGCTTGGAAGTGGAACATGATCCCCAAACCACTGATCTTGTGGCCTTTGACGAGAAATCCATTGCCTTCAGCTTGATAAACGTTGTGGAAGGTGTTGAAGTCTTTCCAGTATATACCCAGCATAGCGAGCATTTCTATCAAGCTGCTCATCGTGGTGGTTGCGTAGGGACGGTTTATTGATGGGGGCATGTCATCCCAGCTTTTCTTCTCGCGTTGCAGAGCGACGTTGAGCGTGTGTTTGCCAGCGATGGATGTGAGTATTGCTGTAGCGCTTGCGGGTCGAGGCCTCAAGCCCATGATCTGCTGCCTCGTCCAATTCTGCGATTCATTTTCCATCTTTTGTAAGCTCGATAGTAACGCAAGCCAGGTTGCACGCTCATTCTTAATGAAGCGCCCTGTCTTGGTGAATGTACCGGTTGGCGGTGGCTCAAGATCAGTCCATGTATCATCAAGACTCTTTCTCGTTCCATCAATGAAGAACACGTCCGCTTCGTCTATAGGTCCCTTGGCGGCCTTCGAAGTAGTAACAAATATGACGGGGACTTCGAATTGAATCTCCGTTCGAAACTCTTTGGGTCGCCAGGCTTTGGTCCGGGATTGATGCCACCTCCCCATGACGTTCTCACCACAATTCGGAGGCGATCTGAACTGCTTCAGCGAGAATGGCGCTCCTGGAGGAGGTTCCACGGGGGACTTGACCACACTTCTTGTTGTGATGGCTCTCATGAGATCTCGGGATATGCGTTGGTTGCCACTCATTTGGGTGTAAAACTCGGGGTGTTGAAGTTCCGTCCTGCTCATGATTGGAAAAGCTGACAGAATGGATGAGTCGTCGGCGAGACTGAAACTTGTCATGACCGAGCCTGTGATGGAACGGCCGTGGGAAGAGTGTATTGAGAAAGCATCTGTTGAGTTGTACACACGCTTGTAGACGCCTGTCTCCTGAAGCGCTGCTTCAAACTCTCGACGTGGCGGTGAAGTCGTGCCGTTGCTCTCGATCTTCGTCGAAGTTTCCGCTGAAGTTGAGCGCTTGAGTTTCGGCATTCCTAATTCTGGAACACTCGATGTCGGAAAGCTGAGTGATCGCTCTGCGCTTGCGTGAAAGCCACCCCATTCATCTTGGTCGTACTTTTGTGATGTCGCTACTGAATTAGTTTCCGTGGCATCATCTTCTTTCAAGTGATACAATGTCGGAGCCATGGATGATCGGTTTGAGGGGATGAGAGTGGAGTTGTCAGCGATGAACTTGTTGAAGAGTGCTTCGAGGCCTTCGATTCGTCTCTGGGTTGCTTCGCTGCTGTTGAGGACCGCATCGATCTTGAGTTCCAGCGCACGCTGTGATTCCACGATAACAACGTCTGACTCGCTACCTCTTGTTAGCGCCTCCAACATCTTGAGTTTAGAGACTTACCATTGTAAAATGTTCAAGATGAGAGTAACAGAGCCCTTGTGCGCCTGAATCTGCCGAATGTACTTGACAACATCATCCTGCACCCTCAACCACTTGACCCGATCCCATCTCGTCAAAACAACTTTCCCATCTTTATCCAACGGCTTCAGTGTCGAGATGAGCTGATCACACGTCTTGATCAATTCACTGATCGTGACAGTCGCATCATGAAGGCCAACCGACATCTTCGCCGCTTTCGGCACCGAATCTGGATCATCGATCAAACTCTTGAGGCGCTTTATCGCCCAATTGATCTCCTTTGTCTCAGCGTGTGCCCAGAATACTGTTCGGGGACAGTCTTTTATGCTGGTTTTGACGACGTCAAAGGTTTTGATCACGGCGGCTGAGACCGTGAGAAGGCCTGCGACGCCGCTGGCGATGCTGAGAGGGTCCATGGTCGAGAGGGAGAGGCGAAGATGAACGACATTGCGAAATTCGTTGCGGAAGGTTGGGGGCTATAGATATGGGAAGAGTGTTGAGCTGAAAATCAGGCTGTGGTTACTTAGATACGATAGGGCAGATGATATGCAGCTGTTGAGCGATATTGTCTCGATGATGTAGTCATTTGCACCATTGGCTTGGCGTAGACTGGAAGATTAGTCTGTCTGGCTGACAAATGAGGGATAGTAAGATCGATCATCGGAAATGTATCTAGCATGGGTCGATTCTCATGCATCTTGTCAGAGTAGGACTGTGTCTTGTGCTTCTTGTCCTCAGTTTTCTTTCTCTGTGTAACACTGGCGAGAGATGACAGCAGATGGGTCAAACGAGAGCAAACAGATTATGCGTTACGTACTCACCTGAACTGCAAGACATGTCACATGTTGAGGCTAGGAACATGCATGGTCTACAGTAGTTTCAATAGTTTGTCTGTGTTTGTGGTTGTGCATGTGAATAGTCTAGGGTGGCTTGTTACACCTCATCAACAACCTAAGCTCAACCACAACCTTGATACTAACAAACCAAACCCCCATGGACACAAACTGAAACATTAAAAGGAAGCCTAAACTCATCGACAATCCTTCAAGATGCACCCTCAACTTGGCATCACCCCAAGACCTTCCAATACAGTATTAACGCCCCGTGCATGCATCCAGCCGCAAAATACAAGGATCCCCAAACAACAACCACTCATCTGTCCCTTTTCCCCTCTTTCCCCAGCCCTACAAGCCTAGGTGGGCTGACATGCGGGCACGCTACAGGGGTATCGCGGCCCGTGAAAATGGAACTTTTGGGGGCTAAGCTCCATCGTCGTTGGACACACAGCTACTACAGCTACAGAGACGGGCGGGTAGAGCGACGCCCGTTCTGGTTACATCTTTCTTTTCTTCTCTTTTCTTACTGCATGGATGAGTGTTGCATCTACCGTTAGGGGTCGTTTTGATGAGTTGGCTGCTTACAGCTGAGATGTCGTTAAGCGCTGTGTTTTCTGGGCGTGCTTGAGGATAAAAGGTCAGCAAGTTCTTCTCTCTTCCTGTCCTTCTCTTCATTCTCTTTTCATGTCTTTATGATTGTTGTTTGTTTGAATAGTCAAGCAAGATGCCTTCATCTTCTTCCTCTAGTTCTTCCTCCTCAAGCCCGTCGTTTGCCGAGATTGCGTCTGGCGTCGCTGATCTCGGCGACAGATCAAAAGTCACGCCTCAGCAAGCGATTGACAAGTTCTGGAAGCAATTCACCACCAAGAATCCAGGCAAAGGTACCCAATCTCCTCACTCTCAAAGCAAGCATGTACTAACTATACAGCAACTACTGTCATTCCCTCAAACACTTACACTGATCTCGCCGCCAAGAGAGGCAACCAAGTAACCACCACAACAACCCAAGCATCCTACGAAGACGCCGCAGCAACATGCCGCGCCAAAGTCGAAAAGATCGTCAAGGAGTGCCGTCGCATCAACAAGAAGTATCGCGATCCCCACTTTGACATTGAGGTTGATCTCAAGCTCTACCGCAACGACTGTCTGCACTCTCTGTCCAATGTTGAGAACTACCAACCTGGTGAGGATCTCCGTCCGCAGAGTGTGAAGCGCGTTGGCGATATCTTTGAGAAGCCTTGTTTTTACATTGATGGGCCTACTGCGAATGATGTTAGACAGGGACGAGATGGTGATTGCTGGCTCATGGCGGCGCTGTGCACGCTTAGTGAGAAGCCTGGTTTGATTGAGCGACTCTGTGTTGCGCATGATCAGGATGTTGGTGTCTATGGGTTTGTGTTTTATCGGGATGGAGCTTGGATTTCTGAGATTGTTGACGATTTCGTAAGTTTCTCGCCTGTTTGTGTATCGCGATACAGAACTGACAAACCTCCAGCTGTACCTCATCAAGCCGGACTATGATGAGGGGTACTTTGACAGGATCCTCTTCGACGACATTGAACGCGTTGATCCGGATGAAGCCTATCGTCGCATCTTCCAGTCCAACAGCAGTGCGCTCTACTTTGCGCAGTGTCAGCATCCTCAGGAGACTTGGCTGCCCCTTCTTGAGAAGTGTTACGCCAAGGCTCACGGAGATTACGGTGCGATTGAGGGCGGTTTCGGAGGCGAGGGTATTGAAGATCTCACTGGTGGTGTCACCTCTGAGCTTCTGACCACTGATATCCTTGACAAGGTATGTTTCACAATGATAATGCGTACCACAGTATTAACGAGTGTGTAGGAGTACTTCTGGAGGGAAGAGTTGCTCAAGGTCAACCAAGAGTTCCTTTTTGGCTGTAACACCGGCATCTGGGGCCGTGGCTGGGGTGAGCGCAAGGGTATTGTTGAACTCCACGCCTACTCCATTCAGAAGGCTGTCGAGATCGATGGCAAGCGACTCCTCAAACTCAAGAACCCCTGGGGCAAGGGTGAATGGACCGGTCCATGGAGTAAGTCACCTCAAATCTCACCACAATGAACAAATGCTGATCATTTGTAGGCGACGGCTCAAAGGAGTGGACTGCCGAGTGGCTTCAAAAGCTCGACCATCGCTTCGGCGACGATGGAGACTTCTGGATCTCGTATGAAGACCTACTTAGAAAGTATCAGGCCTTTGAGAGAACCCGTCTCTTCACCGACGACTGGCGCGTCAGTCAGCTCTGGACAACAATATCTGTCCCTTGGGCACTGGACTACCACGACACGCACTTCTCCTTCACCCTTTCCAAGACTGGTCCTGTTGTTCTTGTGCTCGCTCAGCTTGATGACCGTTACTTCAGAGGTCTTGAGGGCCAGTACATGTTTGAGCTGGGTTTCCGTCTTCACAAGGCTGGACACTCCGACTACGTCGTGCGAAGCCAGACACCATACCGCATGACGCGCTCCGTCAACGTTGAACTCGAACTTGAGGCTGGCGACTACGAAGTCCGCGTCAAGATCAACGCCACCCGCAACCAAGATATCCTGCCTATCGAAAAGGTCATCAAAGACAACGCCAAGTCTCGTCGCGAGAAGCTTCTCCGCATCGGTCTCGCTTACGATCTCGGTCACTGTAAGGGTCGTTTCGTCGAGACTCCAGAAGAAAAGGCCGCTCGCAAAGAGCACGAGGCCAAGATCAAGCAGAAGAAGCGAGACAAGATCAGGGCAAAGCTTCTCAAGGAACGTGAAGAGGCTCACTACCTTGCTACACGACAGTTTGAGCGGGATGAGCATAAGAGACTCAAGAGAAAGGAGAAGCTTGCTTTGAAGAAGGCTGCTAAGAAGGCGAGACAGGAAGCTCGCAAGGCTGAGAGAGCTGCTATCAAAGCTGAGAAGGCGGCGAAGAAGGCAGCTGAAGCCGAAGCTAAGGCCAAGCTTGAGGCAGAAGAAGCTGCGAAGAAAGAGAAGGAGGAAGAGATTGAGGCTGCGAAGGAAGAAAAGGTTGAGGCTGGTGAGGAGAAGGCTGAGTCCAAGCCTGAAGAGCCCATGACTCCCGAGTCTACCGCAGACGACGACTCGAATGAGAAGGAGGATGTCAAGGAAGCTGAATCAGCTGAGCCCAAGACTGATGAGAAGGGAGCTGAAGCCGACGCCGAAGAAGAGGAGGAAGAGCAAGACATCGAGAGCGAACCCGAAACCGACGTCGAAAGCGTCGGCACACTCCCCACCCTCGCAGACCGCGAACTCTGGATCCACGTCGACAACTACACGGGCACCATCTCCTCCGACAGCGACTCGGACAACGAATCCACCACCTCCTCCAGCAGCTCCAGCTCCGAAGCCGAGAAAGACCCCTGGAACGCCGTGGTCGTAGCCGGCATCCGCATCTTCCACACCGGGCTGGGCGAGGGCGAAGACGACAGCGACATCAACCTGAAAGTGATCAGACCGATCCCCTTTGGGAAGGATGATGAGGAGGTTGATGTTGAGAAGAAGTGCAGTACCAAGGTGTTGGATGTTGATGATAGTGCTAAGGATGCTACGCTTGTGGGGGATGCGAATGAGAAGATTCGGTTTATCAAGGGGGATGGGGGGAAGAGAAGAACTGCTACTAGTTTGTTCTGATGAGGATCGAATGATTTGGATAGGTTATGATAGCGAATCAACACTTTGGTACTGGGAATGTGTTTGTATGTGGTGGTCAAGTGTCGCGTGCTAAGTTAAGCTTGAATCTACGCTTACCTTTTTAAGATTATAAGGCTGAAACGACGACGACGACGACGACTCTGATATACAGCCTGTGGAGAAAATTGCTCAAGAGAACCATTCTTACGAATTTCTTCTGTCTTGTCTAGTCATTGCAAAAGGTCGTCAAAGTTCCTGGTGAGACCACAAAGTTGTCATATGTAGCTCTGCTTACAACCAACCTCTACCCACCCAGACACATTTCTTGCCAAGCTTGAGCAGAAGCATGATAGAGATCAATTATTAATTAGTGATCACATCAATCCGATCGCCCTTCTTCATCTCAAAGGAAGAACTTTAGAAGCCAATCCCGTCAGCTCGAGCTTACATATGTATTTATCCTCGAAAACGTCCTTGATCATCATCTAAGCCACGATAGTGGACAACACTAACAAACCGGGGGTCCAAGTATCTCAAAATAGCTCCCTAGCTCCCGCGACTTCTCACTCTCGCCTTGACGCAAACATACAACAACCGTAATAAAGTCTCCGAAATTATGCTGTAGCATCACCAACAGATCATCAGTTCATCTTGTAGCACACGACGCGAAGCTTTGGCATGCTGACGGCATTCAACAACCATGCACTCAACGAGGATGCCAGAAATACCTAGTCTAAGAACCCCCTACATTTACTCAACCTTTTTTGTCGATTGAGATTTAGGATGTAATAAAAAAGGACCATCAGTGGAGACTGTCAGCAACGTCAGATCCACAATTTAGGGAATCAGAGGCGAGGTGCAGACAGTTGCACAGCCCTACTGTCGTTGTCCGGGGGAGAAGAGAAGCATGAACTGATCTGTTTGCGAATAGAGGTTGGTATTTAACTCTTCAATCGAAGCATTCATCGACGTTGAGATGTGAAACATGACCGTTCTTTGACGTGGCTGATAATGCCGAGCTAAGATAAGATCTGCAGGCATGATTCGCATTGCATTGCATTCATCTGGGACATTTTCCAAGAGGGACGGTAACACAATGACGGATACAGACGAGACAATTAAGTAGGCTATATTTACAGAGAGACAGACTCAGACTTGCTGTAACCGAGCCTCGCGATCGATCGTAACTTGTCCACTCAGACTTCAGTCAGCCTCCCTTTTAAACCTGAACAAAGCTCAGCCTTACTGCAGCTAAGCTATATATCCCTGTATAGTAAGTAAATTGGGTCTGCATCATCTTCTCAGCAATCCTTCATAACCAACAGTCTTGGCAATTCTTATTTTCCCTCGTTGACCTCAGCTTCTTCTTCACTGTAGAGGGCTAGGTTAGGTTGTCGGTGTATGAGGCCCAACCGTGCACAAACACATCCGCAATTGAGTCTTCGCCGATCTAAAACTTGGTCTCTCTTTGTGTCTTACATCCCTTCTCCCTATACCGCTTGCGCCACCCTTCGCCCAGCGATCCCTGCCGAAGGAATTGCACCCAACCCAACAACACGCATCACAATCTGACAGGATTTAGCATGGGTCCCTCATCCCAGCTTCTCCAGGTCCAGTTTTGCATTCCCCTTCCATAAACAAAAAAAGAAGAAAAAGGGAAACCTGCCTTTCTCGCAATGGCCGAGCCAGAGGACATACACGCTCGCAAGCCCTCCGGTATAAACATATTCGGCATCTCTGGCAGCGGCTATCATCACTTAATGCCCCACGAAATGGCCGATCTTCACAACCAGCCCTCGCCGGATGCAAAAATGGGCAGCGGCAGCAGTCCTCCCGAGACACCGCATTCCTTTCATAACCTGCTCGGCAGCCACCCAGCGGGGAGTTCTTCTTCAAGTCCCAGAGTCGCTGCTGATTCTCAAGGCACGCCTGAGCCGTACTCTGAGATTTGGGCCCCGTCTATGCCGCGCGGTGGTGATGAGAAGAAGAGCGATATGCCTAGGACCATGGAGCGAGAAGTCAAGAGTGAGGGAGGAAAGAAACTTCCTAAGATTGTGGAACCGAGGGGGGATGCTATGGATGATGAGTTTGATGATGAGATTTTTTATAAAAAGTTTGGTAAGTTTTCTTATTTTGGTTGAGGGTATGGAGACTTACTTGAGTAGCGGAACCTCCAAAGGGATGTTCAACAACACGAGATATTCACCAGCCAAGATCAAGTTGGCTCTCAATTACTATTTACGTCCTCTCAGTCTACTCAACAGTCGGCAGTGGAATCTGGCTCGTCACAGCAATTCTCCAACCACGATGGGGCCACAAAATCGCCTCTGGCGCATCCCTCTCACCATCAACAGCGACGACCCTCGCAGCACTCCTAGCAAAGACCATCGAAATGTCCTTTGTCACCGTCTTCGTCTCATGTCTAGGCCAAGTCCTCACCCGCAGAGCGTTTATTCGAAAAGCCCATGGCATGTCACTTGCGGAAATGACGATGAGGAACTGGGTTATTCAGCCTGGATCTCTCATTACTCACTTCGAAACACTGCCTTCTTCGTCGTTGACGCTTCTGGGGATGTTATCGCTTACTGCTACTATTGCAGCTGCGTTCTACACTACTGCCTCTGATGCGATGGTCTCGCCAAAGTTAAAGTCTGGGAGTTGGGAGCATAAGGAGCTCATTGGGTATGTGCGCGCGTCGTATGCTAATGCAGCTTATGTGCGTGAGGACTGTCCCTATCTTTTCAACATCACTGAAGATATCCATGCTGCCGAGTCTTGCATGAATGTTCAGTTCTCGGGTCAGTCTTACAGGAATTTACTTAACTATATGAACATGTGGACGAATCTCAATCAGAATGGAACCGAAATCTCATCGGATTTGAAGAAGCGACCTGGTGGAACGACACTACTCCACGATAACACTACGCTGTACTCCTCCTGGATCGAGACAGAACACGGCGATGTTGAAGCGCACTTTGAGGAAACAGGGCGTATCATTAACAATGTCACTCTCGCCCTTCCTCATCCAGGTGTCTACGGCGCTTCCAAACTCAAAGTCAACGGAATTCTTCAACCTGATGATCTTGCGGGAGTGGGAGAGTACACCGTTCGAGCAGGTGTTGTCTCACCATCTGTCAATGTTCTATGCGTCGACATGGATAAAAAGGAACTTGCACCTCTTGTTTACACGACATGGCCTAACGCCAAGGTCAACAACACTGATATTCCTGGTCAAAAGACAGGATGGTCTGGTTGGACGGGTGAAGTTCCCCAACCACTTGATGGGAAGAACAAGGACTATTATCTCAACCGGACTGATGTGGATGATATCTTCAGATGGGGACCCAAGTACGAGCGTCGCCCTCCTGTCTTCCAAATGGTAAGTCATCCACCCAACCCTCAAGACCATATCTAATTTGTCGCAGTACCCCTTTGACTTTAACCTTCTCACCAACGCAACCGTCTATGCTGCCGACGCTATTTACACCCTCGGCAAATCACCCGAGAGCAAAAACTACACCGTCTGCCAACTTCGATCATGGGTATCGCCCAACTGTTCCACCGAGTTCAACATCTCCGGTATCGCCGGTGCCAGCATGAAAGCTCACTGCGAGGACGACGGCGATGAGAACGCCTATCGACGATCATTCCCTTCGGACCAAGGCTGGTCTGCTCCCTCTCTTGACTGGAAGGTAAGTTTCACATCGTCTATTTTATGGACAAGACTAACGACAGTAGTGGCTCGCTGATCAATGGCGATTGTCTATGGATCTAAATGGTGGCTCTGTTAACAACAATGCTTCCAACGCTCGTATCCTCACTCAACTTTCCCTTCACGAACCCAAGATGCCAGCTTCTTATCCCTCACTCGCTGAAGCCCTCGCTGTGTATTCCAGCTCTCTCATCATGATAAGCGCCATCGACACGCCTTTCCGTCACTACTGGGATCAGGACCCGAAAGCATATCCCGAAAACCTCATCCCAGCACCTGGTTTCCCTCAACCCTTCAACGCATCCCTCATCACACAAGAATACACATCCGGACACACCCAGTCATGGCAGAACATCTTTTATGTCGTTCTCGTTCTCGTTTTCGCCATCAATTTATTCTGTCTTGGCTACTTCATCATGCGCTCTGGACTAGTGACCGACTTCACTGAACCGCAAAACTTATTCTCCCTGGCGATCAACAGTCCGCCAAGCAATTCTTTTCACGGTAGTTGTGGAGGAGGCCCTGAGAAGCGACATCTTGTAGTCCCGTGGAAGGTTGCCTATGCGCCGAGCGCGAACCATTTTTTTTTCCAGGACAATTCGCCTGGAAAGGAGACGTCTGAGGGGTTGAGTACGGCGAGGGAATATGGAGAACCGAGAGTGAGCAGTTACAAGAGACTCAGCATGAGTAGGACGTGGCTGTAGATGGATCTGCATGTGTCGTTGTTGTATGAGCAAGTGTTCCAAAATGCATGGTTGGGGAGTTATCATATTCAGCCGGGGATCAATACACTACCACTGCGCAAACGTACATACATATACGCCTTGAATATCGTCTGATCAGATACTTCTTCATGAGACATTGGCTTCTTACACGGTGACGGCATATCAGCTGGATGTTCACCACACCAGTTGCCACTGCCCCGTCAGTTCACAGTATCAGCAAAAGAAGGACATCCTTAATTGCTACTATTGCTTATTTTCTGAGATCTAGCAGTGATCTTTTTCAGTGCTAACTGCATATCCGATATCGGCTAGGCTTTGGCACCAAGTGTTTCTAAATGTTAGTGATTCACCTTCAATGAGATCCAGCATATCATATGCAGGCAACATAATCCTCAGGAGTATTTCTTCTCAATCAACCTCTTCACTCACACATCATAACTTTGATCTTACAATCTCAACTCTTTTCCTCGCTCTTAACCTTTTCTTCACACAAAACGGCCTGTTCAATCTAGAGTTTGAACTAATAGTATAGACTTCTACTGCATCTGATCTGCTGCCCCGAAATTGCTATCAGTAAGCTACATTTCCTTCATTTCCTTTTTTAGGTTTGATACTAACAGATATTACTTCTAAGGTTCTTAAATCCACCTAATCAATCACTATAGAACCCACTGGTGCTTCTTATATCCTCACTGTTGCCCAGTTTGAGCGGGAGATCACCCAGCATGGCGGCGATGTTGCTTGGCGTCGAGCCCAGGTCCAGTATGTCATTGTTTCTTATAACGAGGCAAAAGGTTCCGGGTTAAGGGAACATACAGTACGAGAACTTTACGAGTACATTGTAACTAGTAAATGGGTCCAGCATGCTACCAGTTTAGGCCAGCACCCAGCCTACAGGAGGTTCGTCGGCACTAATAACAACAACCCCAAATCACTCTACTACCCACACTTCTTTATCGTCCAGGCTATCTTTATCCTAAATGGTAGACAAGTCGGCAGTGCTGCTTACCGGATGTACGAAGAGCTTTCAAGACATTGGGGCATGGCTATCACTCCAGACGAACCTTTTTATCCCCGTCTTGCAGACCCCGAGAGGGAGCGTCAACTGATCTTGGGAAACATCCCAGGAGCCCATGTCCCAAGTGAGAGACAATCCACCTCTTGAGACAAACACAAAGGGGACAAGCACAAAGAGTTGAGCGTCCACCTCGAAGCTGCCGCCAAGCTCTCCGCAGAAATCCAGGACGAGGACGAGGTCAAACAACAACGCGCTATGGATTTTCGAAGAATGAGAGATGAGCTGAGGCTCGCTAAGCAAAGAAACTTGGACCTCGTACAAGAACTCCGGGAGGAGATACAGAATCGGCGAAACACAGAGCAGAGCAAACAGGCATTACAAAATCGACTTAAGCAAAAATCAGACCAGCTACAGGATGCGCAGACCCTTCTGCAAGAAACACATCATAAACTTGATGAATCGCGACAACTTTCTAAGGGGCTCCAAGATCAACTGTTCCAGATGCAGATTTTCATCAAGCAACATCAGCAACTCTCTGTGCAGATTTCGCAACTTGAAATACAGCGTAACAATACAAGTGTGATGATGCAGCAGTGCATCAACACCACGGCTAGATCAAGCTCTTCTCGACTCGAAGGGCCGAACGCGGCGGCCAAGCGTCCCGCTGCTGGAAGTGCAGAGGGCGAGGGATCCAAGCGGCCTCGACAGAACTAAGTTGCCAGAGACCAAATTGAAGGCAGAGGTATAGCGAAAGGTTTTATTGGTGATAAGGATGATTATCGACGGGCATGAGAAATTGATACGTAGGACACTGAATGACTGTGAAGTCAAGTCCCAGGCGAGGCGTCTTAGAGAAAAGCATTAATATATGAGTTTTGTTTCCAACTTCTCTTAATAATCCAGAGATATCATATTCCTTCTCCTACTAATATATTATCATTCCAGTACCTTTGGTTCCTGGTTACAGGCGTCCCAGTCAGTCAAGAAGTAGACAAAGGCTACATATATGATTTATTAACTTGTTAGTGGTAGAGAAGTCTTGTAAAGTTCTATTCCGGGCCGATTTTAAGTCCGGTTTACTATAGCACTAATTCTTTCCACATGGTAGGCATTTGCTTCTGCTAAGCCTTCAGCATATCACCAGCAAACAGTGCAGGCACTCACGGTGATCAACAAACACATCTTCTGTCAATACACATCGCAAGCTTAATACTTAGTTCTTGCTTCCTTCCTCTTTCTCAGAGCTTTTTTTGCTACTTGTGAGGCCCTCTCTTTCTTTACGCCGAGGGATTGAACAAGATTGGTGCTGCATCTTGGTTGCTGTCTATAAGCAGTGATAAGTATGTTGCCTTTTTTCTCTTATTTTATTCTAAACTAATACCGATATTACCTGCTCTTTAGGATCCTTTCTCCTAAATCTTTACCATCTTTTCTTTTCTCCTAAATCTTAAGATCTTTACGCTAAGACTTAGTTGATCATGGCGTCTCGCCGTTTTGCAGCAGAGGATGAATACATCCTCCCATATACATTTCCCGATGAAGAGCACCGTTGCGAGGATCCTGTTCAACGCGAGGATCAGAAAACGAAAGTCCGGGCTATGTACGAGCAAGCAAGAAAGGTCATGTATCGGCAAGCCATCGCCGAAATTTTCGACTACCTAGTGAGGGGGGAATGGATTCACTCTGCTGAGCGTGCCAGCGCTCACCCTGCCTACAGACGCTTCATGGGGAAAGGTAGTTATAACGGAGGCGTGCCAACTTCTTACTACCCTGAGTTCTTCGCGATCCAGGCCATCTTTCCTCAAGACCGCGACGACCCGGATATTCACGTAGCAGTGCGGAACTTGTATGACACGGTGTCAAGACACTGGGGTATGAAGGCTACCCCAGGCATTCCTTTCTTCCCTCGCCTCCAAGACTCCGATCGAGAACTTCGACTCCTGGTCGGCAATCACCCCATTCGATCGAAGACAGTGGGAAGATCTGACCCTGGCCCATTTCTCACCACACCCCTTGCGTCCAGGCCTTCTCCCAGGCCCGAGGTACAGGAGTCGGGCTTCCAGAACACCCAGGACAGAATCATTGTCTCGCCCAGCGCCCCAATCACCTCCAGCAATAGTGCCAGGCCAGCCCCAAACACACCCAGCGGTATAAGCCCCTACGTGGAAGACCTCAATAACAAGTTCCTTGAGAAAGAGCAACGTATCACAGACCTCGAGCGCAAGCTGAAGGAGAAGGAACAGGAACTCAAAGATAAAGACTTCCAGATGAACAACCTCGGGTACAAACAGCGATATGAGCAGGCACAGGAACAGAAGATGGAGGCCCAACGAGCACTTCGTGATACGCGGCAACGATGCCGTGAGTTGGAGATGCTCGTTAACAAATACGAAGAGAAGAGCAAGCAGCTCAAGCACCAGCTCCTGCTGTCTCAAGAAAACAACACCCGCTCTCTAACCGCCGCCTTGCAGGCCCAAGGTCATCTAGGCCTTGGCCAGCAGCAATTGGACAAGTCTTTGAGCCTCCTAAGCGAACCTATCGATGAGTTCCACGCTACCGCTGAGGATTCTGGTTTTGCTGCCCACGATGGTCAACGAGTCAACAAAAGAGCTCGCGAAACCTGAGTCACTGAAGACATTCGGATAGAGTTCTGGATCAAGACAACGGCGCCTTTAGCTTAAGGAGGGGCATCTGGACGGATGAGCTACAGGCAGAGCTGTTGAGTAGAGACACAGGAAGGCCACATATGGGAGCTGGAAGCGAATAAGGCGAGACGAACTATGAATTCAGCAGTAGAAGATCTACTTATGGAGAAACTAATGATGTATGAGTTATGTTATAATTCTTATTAATCGAGAGACGACACACATCTTCTCGGAGCGATCGTAATGCCGTGTTGCTTGCGCCCAAAACTGTACATGCCGTTGGTTTGTATGCGTTCCAAAGTGCATCGTAAACAGTGACCCCTTTAAAGCCTCGCATCTGAGCCCATACTTACCTACCTAGCTTGCAGTTTCATGGCTCTCGGTTTCAGTGGTCGACTCACCATGACTCACTGCCAAACAAGGGGCAAGATTCTTGTTGCGACGTAGACTACCAAAAGCATATTGCAGGCAGACGTAAGAAATTCTCAGGCACCCAACCTGACGTCTTCTCTGACCTCGCGCTTCCTAATGCTGCTTTGCCAAACACAATCTCTTCCTTTTTTTGCGTCCCGTTTCTCTTCACACTCTTGTCCTACGACACAAACTCGGGACAATTCTTGCAAAACTTTTGCTACTCTTGATTTTTTGTTTTTATGTTGGTTCTCTCCTTTATTAGTCCTTGCCTCCATCCACTTCTCCTTGAGACTATTTTCCTTGCTTGGTCCTCGTTGCTTTATTGTTGTCACATCCAAAACTATGCCGGCCTCCGACTACAATCTTGAGAGCGGACGCTTCTCGTCCGAGTTGTCCAAAGGTAACCTGGAATGGCGCAAGACACAGGTACAAAGAAAGAGTCATAGAGTCTTTCAAAATAGCCAAAGCCGTCATGTCCCCTCGAGCAATCAAGTTTCTGTTCGGGTATCTCGAAACAGGCAGCTGGATCGACGATGCCACCATCCCATCTCGTCATCCTGCATACAAGTCTCTCATGGGCCCAAGGAAACGCGTACATCGCCACTACTATCCCTGGTTCTTTGTGATCCAGGCGATATATCCTAGTACTACTGGCGTTAGGAGGCTATGCGAAAGTTTCTCCGCGTTTTGGGGTCTCAGAATTAATCCAACAACAGCATTCTATCCTTGTCTCCAGGACTCCAAGCGAGAGTACGCTCTCATCAAGGGTGTAAAGCCTCGGAAAGTTGCGCCTCATGCTACCTCTGTGCCAGCCCAGCATTTCGGGGGGGCACCTACCGAGTCTTCTGCAGTGCCTGCCCAGCAGTCCAGCAACCAACAAACTGCTGCCACAACTGCTGCCGCCCAGCCAGACACTCCCAGTAGCAGCAATCCCCTCAACAACTACGAGGAACAACTGACCAGTATTCGAGGCGACTTTGAGCGACGCCTCTCAGAGTTCCAGAACCAGCTTCACAAAGACGCCATCAGAAGTTAGGAAGAATCCGAGCGATGTCTCCGTGAAGTGCAAGAGAAGGCCAAGGAAATTTGCGACCATGCCAAAAAGGCCGATGCACACGTACTCATGGCTGACGTCCATGTCAGCGAGGCACGAGAGCATTCAAAGACTGCTATCAGACTAGCAGATGCGCTCATTGAGAGCTTGAACAAGACTACTGAGCGCCCTGCCATTCTTGTCCCAGATGGAGACCATTTCAACAGGCGAGGTCGTGAGAACTAGGCTCAGAAGACAAGGAGGACAGCGACTGCCGGCTTGACATGAGCTGTAGTACAACTACTGGGCTGTCATGGTATCATCGCTCTGAATGAGGAGCAATCCAACAAGCGAGATCATGAGAACGAAGATGCGAAAGGACAAGGAAGGAAACTAATTTTGGTAAAAACGGTGAGGTCCTGTTCAAGGAGCGAGGTTTTCTTTTGGAGTCATCAAGGACGCGGCATAGCATCGAGGCTGCTCAGGAGAGGAACAGAGAGCCGATCAGGGGAATTGGGAACATGTACGAGACTATCCAGCATAACCATTAATAAACCAGAAGTAATGCCCATATGCTCCAGATGACCGTGACGCCGCGTTGTCTATATGTACTGTCAGCCAATCCATTAAAAATGACATCCTCCGCGACAGGACATTCGAGACGTAGACTCGAAACACTCCTCACAAACAACCGAGGAAAGGCAAGAAACCTCAAAATATCGACCCATCCCAAACGATCAATCAATTCTGGTAAATTCATGACGGCTTCAGGTCATCCTTAGTCCCTTGACTCAAAGTCAGAAGTTCGCTTACCCCTTGAAGCCATCACCATCCACCCAGCAACAGCCAAACCTAAACACAAGCCACATCACATGTCTAAAATATCGAACAAGACAAAGGGACGTTTTATTGCACCACCTGAGAGACAGTAACTATGATAGTATGTTGATCTTTGACAAATGACACCATGTCAATTCATAAGATAATAATAAAAAAAGAGGTAGTAAAACCGCAGATAACCAAACCACCATAAACGGGAAAAAAGGAAAAAGGATGTGACGACGTCTGTCTTAAACAAACAAAAAAACAACGGCAACAATAAGCGTGGTATGTAATTTTTCGCCGTGAGCTTTAAGATACACCGGATGAATAAACTTCGACACTTTACACAGATGGGATATCACCGCCCCCTCCCTTCCCTTTCATTCCTCCATCCTTGAACAAAAATCTCCTGAAACTCTTCCAGGATTTTTCTTTTCCACCCATGTACCCCAGGTCCGCAAGTAAAATGACGAAGCGTGGTAACAAAAAATCAACAACAACAAAAAGACAGGAGAGGAAAGAGACCAAGTCGGACGATGTGAAGTTTCCAAAGAAAGAACCATGTCAGTAGTGTCGAACCTGTTTCAGTCAAACACGGCGGAAGCGTCGGTAACATAAAGCAAAAAACAAAAAAGTGCTCTTTTCCCCTGAAGCCACCACATGAGGGAATTTCACCTCCAGGACCAGATCGCCGAATGACCATGATATAGTTTCCACTCAGAACGCCGTGACAAATGATGCCTGATTAAGTCTGACCCAAGATCGTGTGTGTGTGTAATGCCAGCCAACCCAAACCTTCTCGCAAGTCATTAATCTGCTCCTATCTCATCTCCCATGGGGAATGCTTCCGTAAAATTGAAGGCTGAGTTATCACCATCTTGGTCGTGGAGGAACGAATCAAAGTCAAAGTCATTGAGCACGTCACCCGAGTTAAGAGGGTTAGCCAACTCCATGCCGCCGCCATCAAACTACAAACAGAGTCAGTATCCGGTTTCACCTCCAAGGAGATTGCACGTACCAATGGGCCAAAGCTGTTATCCATACCCATCATTTGATTGGGGTCGTGCTGAGGAGCTGGTGGCTGGGGAGGAGGAGCGGTTGTTGCAGCTGCGGGAGCATTAGCAGCTGGGCCAGTCGTTGGCTGACCATTCTGACCGGTGTTGCCAGCTTGCCCATTCTTATTGAAGTTGGCAGCATTGGCGTTTTGAATGGGTGTCGCAGGAGCTGGAGTGTCCTGTGACTCGTTGTTGTCGTTCGAAGGAGTTGCACCAGCATTATTGAGGTTCTGGTTCGCCTTCTTGTTGGCAGCAGCGCGCTTAAACTTGTTAGTACCTACAGAGTATAGTTCACCGGTTAGACATACCTTATCCTTAGCGGTCTCGCCCTTCTTCTTCTTGGGTGCGGCCTTGTTAGTCTGGCTAGGAGTTGGTGGTGCAGCTGCTGCTTGTTGAGGGGATGCTGTCGTCCTGCTGTTGGCTCCATTTGCGCCAGCGGGTGGTGCTTGGGGAGGAGGCATCGATCGTTGCTGGGGAGTTCCCTGGATCTGAGGACTTTGCTGCTGCATCTGCTGAGGCACCATCTGTCCGTTAGGTCCTTGCCACTGCTGGGGATTTCCTTGAGGCCCTTGGCCTGGCTGGCCTTGCTGCTGTTGTCGTGCGGCGGCCATCATCTGTTGCTGGTTCATCTGTCCGTTGAAAGGTGCACCAGGGTGAGAGCTGGGGGGTCGCATGCCGCCGTTCATCGGAGGTTGGCCTCCCATGTTACCCTCCATCTGCTGCTTGAAGAAGTGAGGTGCCATGTTGGGATCCATCTGGTTGCCCATGAAGTTCATGGCCGGGTTGGGAGAGCCACGGGATTGACCACCCTCGGGGACCGGTGAAGGAATGCCAGAGTTGTTCATCTGGGGTGTACCGCGCTTCATCTGCTCAGCAGGGTTGGGCGAGGCACCTGGTCGCATGGCCTGGGGCGATGTGTCCGGGAACTGGCCGTTGGGTCCAGGAGGACCACCTGGTTGTCCGGGTTGGCCTTCTCGGGGCATGCCATTGCCGCCGACGGTATCTTGCTCTTGGCGGGCCATCATGAGTCGCTTCTTGTTCTGCTGCTCTAGAAGCATTAGCTGCATTTGATAGTCTTGGAGGGCATGGTTGCTTCCCCCTCCGTTTTGGGGACCTCCAGGTCCCGCCCGGATGCCGCCTGGGCCTCCCATCTCGCCTGGGTTGTAGAACGCATTGAGAGCAGTTCCATCGGGACCCTGGGCCATCATTGGGGATCCTTGGCCTTGAGGAATGGCATTGGGCCCCATCTGCTTGCCTCCCATCTGAGTACCATGGTGTTGCTGCAGGTTCTGCGAGTAGGTCGCGATCGACTTTTGCTGAGCGGCGGGCGGGGCGGCGGCAAAGTTCTGCAGCTGCTGAGGATGTAACGAGTTAGGGTTGATGCCATTGGCAAGTAACGTTTGTTGAGCGGCGGCAGTGTTGGCTCCTCCGGGCATCTGCTGGCCTGGCATGCCTTGGCCGGGGCGGCCATTGGGCATCATGCCGGGCTGGTTAGGGTTGAAAGGTGCGCCATCGATGCGCTGTCGCTTGGAAGGCGAGGGAGCGTTCTCCCCAGACGCTGGTGAAGAAGGTCTGTTTTGGCCATCCATGCCGGAGGGATCTCGCTGCATCTGGTTCTGCTTGGCCTGCTGTAGCATCATTTGAGGGCTGGATATCACTGTTAGGCGAGGGGCTTGTAAAACGATGAGAAATAAGATGCTCACTTATTTTGGTTGTTAGCCATGGCGGCGCGGGCAAGGTTGCCCTGCTTCATGTTCATCATGCCGCCGTTCTGCATGTTGCGCATCATCTGATATTGCTGCGTAGCCATGTCTGGTCTCATCTGTCGCAGAAGTTCCTGCTGTTGATTCTGCTTTAGCCGGGATTGCTGCTACATTGCCACCGAGGGTCAGCATTGGTCACCAGCCAAAGTGGTTACCAAATGTTAGGAGCATGGCAGTCAATCTGACACCATCATCCATTGAGTGGGTGAGATGCCGGACTGGAGTGCCCTGGGTGGCAGCATGACAGAAAGAAAAAAGATGGCTTACCTGAGTATGTTGAACATATTGGTTAATGGTATTGTTTCCGCTCTTGGCGCGCTGCGCGTAGTAAATGTCCCAGAAGACGGAGAACCACTCGTAGAGAAAAGAGGTGTCGGAAGCAGGCATGGGAAGCTTTGGTGGCGGCAAGTCTTCAGGGAGTTTGGAGTCGATGTCGTCCTTCGAATCGGTATCCATAGCGTCGTCGCCAAGACCGTTGATGACATTTCCGTTCTCGTCGCGACGACGGTTCGCGCCATCCTTACTGAGGACATTGACCTGTTGATCGCTGGAAAGGAGAGATCGGGCGCAATCGTACATTCCCATGCGGATAAAGTATTCGTAAATGTAAGTGTTGAGAACGCTGCGCTGGTTATCGTTTGCCTGTTGGCGAGACGCGGCGGCAGCAGCCGCAGCGGCCTGGGGGTTGACGGCGCCGTTGTTCATCATGGGCATGGGGGCACCTCCGACAGGACCACCCATGGGGTTCATGTTGGCCATGTTGACGTTTGGATTCATGGCCATGGCAGTTGAGAAGTAACCGGAGAGGAGACAGAGAGAGGCCTATAGGCTCTGCTGCAGCGACGACAGCAGTCGGGGGCTCGTGTAGCCACGGGGGCGTGCCACCAGGCGGAGCAGCGCTGGATAGCGTCCCAACGTGGACGTGACGGGCAGTGAAGCCAAAGATCGCGAGCGAGGGGATCACCAGCGAAGGAGACGTGGACGCGGTCCAAGTTGCCAGGCGCGCGGTCGGGCGGGGGGCGAGGATCGCGAGAACCACGAGACCAGGAGACGAGAATGGGAGGCGAGCCCGAGTAGAGGGAATTGGAGGATCGTGTCAGGCGTCGGCAATCGGCGGAAAGGAATATCGCAGGAAATCAAAAGTGATAAGAGCGTAGCGTACACTGCAGTGCGATAGTACGCGATGCGATAGTCGACCGATAGTCGATGTCGCGGTGATGAGTTGGAGATAAGAAGTATGTAGGATGAATATGGTGTGGTTGGTTTGGTGTAGGTTGGATTTGGCGGAGTGTCGAGGTAACTGGGAGTGGAAAGTGGGCGCTGGGCTTGTGCTTTCCTGAGGTGATGGACGCTGCCTCAGTTGCTAAGTGTAAAAAAACGAGTGCCTGGGGTTGGGCATTCGCCAGGGGTGGGAGGGTACTTGTGGTTCTGCGGGCAGCTCGGGCAGAGACCAAGTACCTTGGAGATTTCAACGGAACGCCTCCAAGGACAAGCGGGTACCCCCAAATTATATGCTGAGTGCCCTTCTATCCAAGTACCGACAGGAAACGGAAGCGATCCAAACGCCAGACGGACGGGAACAGTGGAGGACGGGGAGAGACCCAGTATAAGGTAGATAGATGCAAGTAGGTTGATCAACGTGCGTCAAACTCTTGCTGCAATTATCAAACGCGACGGATGCTCGCCGTTTGGGGCTTTTCAAAGCAGATGGCACAACGGCCGAGTAGAAATGAGGTGCTTTGTTTGATGGAGGAGGAAAAGAAAGGTGTGAGGGCGAGTAAAAGGGAGCAAGACAGAGGTTGTGGGTGAAAAACGTGGTCGGTCCTTGATTTGGGCGGTGGGAATCCCTCCAGTCAGTGAGTGAAGGAAAAGGAGGAGGACGGTCAAACTTTTCTTCTTCCTTCTTCCCTGTGAATCGCTCCCTGGAACTTTATCAATTGATAGAGTCTATGAACAACGGCCACTCAACCATGTGAAACGTTTATTTATTTTTATTAGACATTCCCCCCCATCATTGCGATGTAGCCCTCTCCGCATATCAGAATTGGTACCAACAGTCAGTCAGTGATGCACCTCCGATGGTTAGATGCATGCAATTTACAGACCTTGCTCCAAAACGGTAAAACACAAATTACAAGGCTGGCCGTCTGTCAAAAGCTTAGGTAGGTTTTCCTGGGACCTGGAGACAGGTCCACCAAATTGGGATGCCTTGACTCCTTGCAGCTAAAAGAAATCGGGACGGTCGATCTTAAGAACGAATGGACGCATATAAGCGAATCCAACGTGAACACTGAAGTCAATCGCGAGACGTTGAAAACCCTCGAGATTCTGTCAGAATTGACTATTTTAGTCCCTCATTGTTCTCCGTGATCCTCTTCAAAGACATTCGACTTGGCCACAAACTACCGAAACCGGTTTGATGCACATGGAACATGTACAGAAGGGAGGCTGGCTTCCAACCGGGGTTGAGCACAGGGCTGCCAACGTGCCCTGTGAGGCTCAGTAAGCTCAGCGCGTCTCAGCGACGCTCAGCGGCCTAGACCGCAGCTGTAGTGGATGCTCTTCAGGGGCTCTCAACCAAGGTTTGCACGTTAGCGGACCCGAATGATCATAGGTCGCGTCACCCCACACAATGGACCCTTGATCTGAAGGTCGCGCCCTGGGGCTAGACGGCCTTCCTTGCCATTGGCGCGCTGAGTTTGTCGCGTTACGTTCTGGTACGTAAATCTCAGACCAAGATGCGTAATTTTTGTACTGAGTTAAAAATGTCGCCGGTCTTGAGACCTCAGGCATGATATCGGAGACAAAACGGTAGCCCCTTTGCCTCAGGCACATATGTTCCCGTCAATATGGTCTGAGCCTGTGCCCCCGGGGAGCAAGAAAACTTCTGAAGATCAGCCCGGATGCCAAAATAAACTGGACTAAAGATTTGCTAAGATTTGCCTAAATTTGCCTAAATCTTTTCATCACTTATTCATAAGACCCTAGGTTTTATTGTCTCCTTCAGGTACCTCCACTAACAAATCCCGGTTGACTGCCAATTGATCGTCCACCGTTTCGCGGGGATTTGACGTTATCAATCTACTAAAATGTGCCCCTTGTGCCTTGTGGAATAGAGCTTCAGCTTTTCATTGTCCGGCGGGGCGGAGATACCATCTAAATCACGTTTGTGAATAATCGACATTTGAGTTTGTGTCGTTTGCTGATTAACCGATAATATAGGTTTGTTGAAGTCCAGAGAAATTAAACCCAATATCCATGATGCCTCTATTCCGTATAATAAATGAGAGGAGGATCTGCTTGTCTTGGTGCTCTCGCTTTCATTGATCACTGCTGTTGCTCTAATTAAACAAACTTCAGCTCGCAATACACCAACTCCCATTACCCATTAAAACGCATGCAAAATGTTTCATCTTAATATTCTGGCTCTATCACTATGGCGTGAGCTCAATCAACCGGCACTTCCAGCCTAGCACGTGGCTGACAGCTGTCTTCCATGGGTATCTACACGTGCCGTGATCCCAAGCCAAATCTCGCAAGATTGCTAAAACGAAGTTTGTTCCGTAAGTAAGTTTGCTTCCATGCCAATCGTCCTGATCGGCACAATCTCACCGTCGATGCCGTCAACGATCATTTGAGGGCATCTCCCCCTGAAAATCTAGAATTTCTCATAGCCATCCATCCATCTATCTGTGTCCTGCAATTGCTAAATCGTCATCAAATAATCACATTCATAGCTCCCTCTTTTGCGTCTCTTAGTCATCCTCGGGGGGGAGTTCATCATCGATGTATCTGATTAGCGATACCCTCATCTCTGTGCTGTCGTTGCCCCGCAACACGTCACTGACGAAGTGAGCTTCAACTTGCATTTGCACCATCTCCAGAGCTCCTCGTAGCACTCCACACAGAATGTTGGAGTACCAAAGTTGATCTTGCGCTCGTCCATCATCGGGAAGCTCGACAAAGTCGGCCAACGGATTCTCTTCAAATACCAGCGAGAACTGGTCATTTTCGCTTGTCCAATTCATCACCTGGGGAGTAATATTGAGGAATATCTTGAATCCAACCTGATTCACTCGTTAGTCATTGTCTGATGCTGCGCAAGAAGTCTCCCTACCCTGGAGATCATTTCTGCCGTCTCGCGGAAGTTGGCGCATCGCTTCATGGTGTTGGATTTGGCGAGGTAGTCTTCAATAAGTCGCAGACCAATGTTGTAACCCATCTTGTCGAGTTGCTTGTTCACTTCGGCATAGTCGCTTTCGTAGTCCTTGCATAGCTGTGCGACGATAGTTCCATAGGTCAGAGTGACGAGCTCAGCGTTGACCTTGTCGATTCGTGTTCTGTTGCCCTGTTAGAGAGACGCTCCGTCGGGGGATCAAGCGGACGTGGCTTACTTCCAGATTCTAGAACTAGGTTAGTATTTGACAGTAATTTGGGGACTGAATAGTTATCATGATGGACTTACTCCTCGCCCACGCGGGACGCTTTGTTGGCCGCCATTATTGCGGCTATGAGGGAGGGGCTGTGGAGGAGTTGAAGAACAGCGACCGAGCTCTACAATTAACAGAACGTTGGCGCAGAGTAGAAAGATGGTACAAATGGAAGACGGTTCAATATCATACGCAGACAGAGCTATGTCGATGTAGCTTCTACCAGGGAGGTGAAGCAGTAGCGCCAACACCGCTCTGGAATGTCGGTGCACGGAGGGTTGAAACACCGACCTCAGGAACAATCTTCGGCCCGGCCACCAATCATTAGCAGGAGCTCGATTTACTTTGCATGAAGCCCACCACAGTCGTCAAAAAGTGAAGCAACAGGAAGCTCCAAGCTCACTTGACAGCTCCAGAACTCGACAAAACTTGGCGCATCTGTATAATCAGCGTCGCTTATAGCCATTCTTTCTCTTGATACCCTATCGACTTCGCCATGTCCGCCGAAAAACGTCCTGCCGATGGAGATCCCAGCTCTTCTCAGTCGCTCGTGAAGCGACAAAATGTCAACTCTTCTACAGGCGCTCTTGCGCGTCTGAACGCGTCAAGCAATGCGCTGGTGCAATCTGTAAGTTGGGGAGTGTTTAACTGTTGAAGTCGCTGGACTGACTGGTGCAGGCACCTAGAACAAGCGGGCTTCAAGCTCCTGTTATGGAACTGTCAGGACACTCAGGCGAGATTTTTGCAGCAAAGTTCGATCCTACAGGCAACCTGATTGCTTCTGGTGGAATGGACAGATCTCTAAGTGAGCGAAGACCAATGCCTCCTGGGCGAAAACAAGCTGACTCCTGTAGTGCTTTGGAGAACCTATGGCGATTGCGAAAACTACGGAATACTAAATGGTCACCGCGGTGCGATTCTCGACTTACAATGGTCACGCGACTCGGAAATTCTATATAGTGCATCGGCTGACATGCATCTTGCGAGCTGGGATTTGACGTCAGGCACACGAATCCGCAGATATGTCGGGCACGAGGAGGTTATCAACACGGTGGGCATCAGCAGACGAGGAGAGGAGATACTTGTCAGTGGTAGCGACGACTCGACAATCGGAATCTGGGACCCCCGATCGAAGAACGCCGTCGACTATATCCAGACCGAGTTCCCCATTACCGCCATTGCTGTATCCGAGGCCGGTAACGAGATATACGCAGGCGGCATCGACAACGATATTCGAGTTTGGGACTTGCGAAAGAAGTCGGTGATATACTCAATGCTCGGCCATTCAGACACCATCACCTCGTTGAGGGTGTCGCCGGATTCTCAGTCACTTGTCTCATACGCCATGGACTCTACGGTTCGAACATGGGATATCCGACCTTTTGCACCAACAGAACGACACATCCGAACCTTTGACGGCGCGACGGTGGGCATGGAGAAGAACCTTCTCGGAGCAAGCTGGGACTCAGAAGGCAAGAGAATTGCAGCAGCATCAGGAGATGGAACAGTCATGGTCTGGTCAAGCGAGACAGGCAAGCTCGCTTACAAGCTGCCCGGTCACAAGGGCACAGTCAACTGCGCAGAGTTCTCGCCAAACAAGGAGCCTATTCGTAAGTTATTCTGCTGATCATCTTGGATGCGGTGAACTAACAAGTTTCAGTACTTTCTGCATCGTCAGACCGCACAATGCTTCTCGGCGAGTTGAAATGAGGAGGATAGGCAATGACCCGATATTCTAATCTACTACCCGTACGCTCCCTGACATATTGAATCACGAGATGCGCGCTCCCGTGTCAGGGCTCAGTATTCTGGTAACCTTTGACGCCATTGAAGCTTACCTTTGAGGGCGTACCAAGGGAAGGGCATTACCCTCACCCTCACCATGGCTGAATAGTGTAGCCGTTAGGATGAAGCAGGGAGCTCTGTGTAAATAACTCTCTCTAATATTGCCAGGGAGCATGAATATTCAATCTGGGGAAGCCCTGGAGACGGCTAGAAAAGCGGATTACAGCATGCACAAAGTTCTTCGATAACATTGGGAAGGGTGAAGGAGGCGTTTATGGCTTGTATCAAAAGATGAGACATGAGCTAGGGGCACGCATGTAGATGTTTATGCTATATGTGCAAATAGTCGATTAATAGTAAGCCCTTGAAGAAACAAGCCACATCAAACACGATCAAAACTTGAGGGAGGTGTTATCTTCCAATGAAGTTAGCTGTATGTGAGCCTTCCTCTGACGCTATCCAATTATCGTGAGGTTGCAGCTGCATATAGCCAGAATACTTGAGGTTTCAGGTTCATACCCCTGGTTGGCTGTGAGGCGCTCCAAGCAAAATGCAGCATTCTTCAACACGAGACGTTCAGATGCAACAAGACAAGAAGGCTCTGAAACTTATAACTTCATGATATAATTGTCATGATTTAAGCATAACATAAAGTAGTTGTGAAAATATGTGATAGCATCATCTTGAGCTGAATGTCGATGGCAGACCTCGAGAGATAAGCCGCATATCGACTAGCTCTGAAGCTGGTTACCCCTGGATAGAGCTCGGACTGGGTAGTAATTTGTAGATCTCCACCTCCCACGTTTTTCCAACACGCACGGGACGTCCAATCCATCATGGCTAGAGCAAGTTCTCAACTGTAGCAGGTTAATTTCGTGGAAGCCAACCAAAACTCATCGCCGCAAGCAGCTGTACAATTGTAATCACATTCTCAATCCCTGTTGTTTATGTGCAGTACATCCTTCAACAGCTGAACCTGGGCTCCTCCTTGCAGAGGGGGACATGCATCCATATCCCTGACGCGGTTTGTCCCTTTCGGAGGACCCGTAGAGCTAAGGTTTATGAACATGGGTCCTTGAACCTTTCAGTTCAATCAAGGGGTCGAAAAAGGGAACGTCGTGTGAAGACGACAAGACAAACGACGGGCCATCTGCCCACTAACATAATTAGATCATGACTGAAGCCGGGGCCATTTTCTGCTTTATCGAAACCTGACCCTCTTTTTTATTGTCTCTTGTCGCCGTCTTCGTTACGTTCCCTTTTTTTTGCGGGTGTTTTGTCTCAGAAAAAAGAAAGTCAAGACAGGTTCTTGAACCCTTTTTTGTTATTTACTTGTTTGCATATCTTGTTCCTTCTCTACTAATAATGACCGAGATGGTACAAGTTTTCATGTTGAGCGTGTAGTTTTATTATCGTATGTTCCTTTTTTTTTATGCTCTCCCGTGGACTTTGTTGAAAATTCACGATAGCGCCGCCTTAGTCGCTTTTACCTGAGTCGTAACGGATCTATAAACTGCCTCGGGTGCCCCCGTCGAAATATGGACATGAACCGTCCTGACATGGAGAGGCTTCGGGCTGATCTCATACAACGATCAAGGATGGAGCGAGGTGGTAGTCCAAATGGAGGCGACGCCAACCTCGACGTCAATGTTGATGTCGAAGCTCAACACAGTATACAAGAACCTCGTTCGAGTCCTGCGCCCCTATCACGGTTGTTGAGTCGAAGAGAACCTGCTTCAATGACGGGACAAGCTCATCTCGCCGAGATCGAGAGCGTCAAGTCTCAAGACTCGAATACGAATCGCCCTGCGGGCTCTCGAAGATTTGCTGTACCAGGGTTCCTGCGAATATGGGGACGTAACAACACCACACCAGAATCCGACGATGTTCGCTATGCCACAGCTTCTCCCGCGCCGCTTCTACCTATTGCTGAACCTCAATCGCCGACGAGACCGGAGCCTGTAGCTACACCTTCAGATTCCCATCGGTCGCGACGTCAACGAAGACAACGAACTCCTCCTCAAGATCCATTGGAAGCGCATCTCTCTGAAATCCTGGGTGGATCAAATATTAGACGACATCGAAGACGGAGAGAATACCATGAACGAGAGCGCGATCGCCATAGGTCGCGAAGAAGTCATCAGCGACACCCCAAGTTCTTCCTGGGCTGTATACCATGGGTTCGATCGAGGCGCATGAGAGCACAGATCCTGAGGTGTTTGACTTCAGGTCTGTTTCTTATGATTCTCGTCACTGTCTGTAAGTCACGACCCAATCGTGCCGCCTGTGTAACTGCGATACTAATCAGGAATAGACCTCTCCCTCTCCATGACACACAAGGTCAACACGCGCGAAATGAACATCATGCTCATTCTTGTCGTCTTGTTCGCCGCCGCCTTCTTCTTCCACGGTCTTATCAGACTGTGTCTCCTAATAATTAAAAGTAATCGCGAGGCCGCTGAGCGAGCAAATCGACCTCCCCGGTATCGCGCGCCTCGATATGCCGTACCTCCTGTGCCTATTCCTGTTGTTCTTGCGCAGGATGAGGAAGCTGTCGGTATGGAGAGCGAAGCTACAAAGACACTGCCACCAGCCTATGGGCGATGGCGCGAGACAGTGGTATGTATCTAGAGTGTAACTCTTGACTGGATGATGCTAACAATTTCCAGCGAGTTGACCCAGATCGTTTGTTCTGGCAGCGCAACGAGGCCGTGGACCTTTCTCAAATAAGGCCTAATACTCGAGCTGGCCCTAGGCCACCGTCGTATGTGTCTGAAGATGGTATATCATATGTAGTCGAGGCGCAACCTCGATCAACAGCACCAACAACTGAAGTACCTCTACCAACACATCCATCAGAGCTTGGTAGAGTGGCTAGGGTACCAACTGAGTAGGAATTATAAAGGGACAGTTTCACAGGGTATAATAGCGAGCAATATGCATGGTTTATATGAAAGCGAAGACACATTTGAAGACCCAGAGCCTCTCAGAGGCATTGTTGAAATCAGCGTACATGAGCATCTGCAGCATTGAAATCACATATTAGCGGAGTTTTAGATAGTATTGCCGTTGAGAGGAAATTGAGGTTTAGGCTAAGTTATGAGATACCATATAGGAAAATGCAATACAACAGACCTTCTTGGTTGAACTGCTCGTCGGTAATTAGAGACCCAGTCGCAGTGACACTCAACAGGTGACGGTTGCTCAATCTCGCGATCAGGTTATCTCTCTCGTTTGAGCAGGGAGTAATTATCTCGCGGCGAGTCTCGGAAGAGGCGTGGAGTTGCGAGGCCAGGGTCTGACATCACGCGGTTATATCCCCTGCCAACTGCACTGCAGCTGCGCCAGGAAATCAAAACCTCTCAAAAGAAGGGTTCAACCAAATTTCAGCTTGAAGCAAAGACTGTATTAGAAATGACATTCTGTTGGAGCCATCTGCATTCTGCGTTTGCATGATAGGCCAGTTGGAGAATAAGGTTGCTGAGCTGTATCACGTGAACATCTTAAAGTGAATCAGTGCTTCATCAAATTCACTTGGCAGGCACAGCACGGCCAGATGGGAAAGCGTCCCTTCCTCCCTAGTGAACTCCCATTCTTTCCTAAAGCAGAGAGGTTCGATTTGGGGTGTGAAGGGCAAAGGTTAGTCCTGATTGGAGCGTGGACTCGACCCCCAGTCAGTGGCTTCTCTGCCCTTTGTCTTTTTAGTTCAGCGCGTTTAGAGCGTGTGTGATGGTAAGCGAGGGTGAAGGGAGATTCTTTAGTTGACTGAGTGAGTTAATGAGAATGAGTTGATCTTGATAATGGCCGAGTTATGCTTGAGCTATCATCTGATGTATAGAATCACAAATCACGCTCCAGTCATTCTGGAGCTAATAACTCAGGCTTGAGGTTCAGTGACTGTTACACAGCTTCTATCCATTCCACCGAGGCAATTGAATACCAACTCCATTTCCCCTCCCCCTCCCTCTTAGTCCGCAATTCCTCTTGGCTACTCCCACTTCAGTCGCGCCGCTGAGTGAGCCTGAGTCGAGGTCGCCCCCTCCCCACATGCCAAACATCCACAATCATCA